AGGAGAAACAGTGAGCTTGGATTGTTGGAAATTCAAATGAGAGCGCGACTAGCACTCTGTGAACACATCAGCATACCGCAGCTGCATCAAAATAAAAAACTAAAAATGAACTTAAAAATCAAAACTAAAAATTGAAACACAAAACAATAAACAACAATTATTTGATTATGTGTAATCAAAGAGATCTCATGCGGGCAAAGCAAATCAATGTGATGTCAAACTACTCGTACAAAAGTTCATTAAAGATGGGTTTCATTTTATTTACTTGTAACTTGATCGTCTTCTTTTCTTTTTAACTAGTCAAACTTCTATCTTCATTGAGCGCTTTTGCTTGCAGTTCAAAATCATTTAAGAGCTTGTTTGGGATGAATTTTAATTCAATTAAAATTGAAAATATAATGATTATTGGGTCTCACTCGTCTAATAAAAATCAACAATAACAGCTAATTTTTCAATTTTAATCCCTCCCAAACGAGCTCTAAGACTTGTTACATCCATAATTTTCATAAAGAGTTGTGAAATTTGAATTCTAGATTTTCGTTCTTATAACATACGAAATACTAATATATCCATAAATAATATACGATAACCACAATATCCGTTAAATTTATCTATTTAAATTTTCCGTTCAACATCCAGAATAACCACCAGGCCTTTCACTGACAACTAATTGGAGTCGTTATAGCTTATTTATTTGAGCTAATATCGACAATTTTGTAACTTATAGTAGAATTAAATAAAATATGAAACAACATATTAAAAAAATAAAAAGTTATAATTTTTTTTCTTTTTCAAGAAAACTTTCATTATTTTCTTCTATCTGAAATTGAAATAACGCTGTTTTGGACCAAAAATCATCTCCTTTGTGACGAGAAATACCACTGTTTATAATATATATGTTTTTCCTAAAAGGTCTATAACTCTTTACTATGATACTAGGCCGGCTTTCTCAAATTCTTTATAAACATATTCTTTTTCAATATAAAATACACACCCTTACCAATAAATCTTTTTTAAAATCTCAACACTTGTTCAATAATGAAAGGAAATATGGTCGTTTTAAACTGAAATTTTATTTCTCCCTGATTATTTTTCCATCGATATTGTACGTTTTTTTAATTTAGAATCATGCTACGTTGTAACGTACTTGTGAATTATATTGTGATGCATGGAGCTTCACATATGACGATCTCTATCTAAAGTAATGCAACCTTCAGATAGACTCGTGCAAGTACGATGAAAGTCCAGTGGCCTTGTTGCGAGTATGAAGAAAATTCAATTTAATTGAAAATCATTTGCATTTTCTATTTATAATCTCCTTGTATAATTTTCTTTACCAAAGTACATCACAATTTAAAACATTTTAGATTTTAAGAGAATAGTTAAACTAGATATAAATTATAATAAGTTAATGCCATTTGAAGTCCAAGAGATTTAGATGGAAAGAAGCCTTCTTCTAATTCAATCACAGCTTAAAATAATTTAAGTTTTTCACTATCTTTTTCTTGTCCCCTTATTTCCTAGAAACACTCCATCTGATAAAATTTGCAAATTTTAACACATAACTACTAAAAATTGTTGGGCCGGATCCTGGCCCATCTTGGGTGCTATCAATTTTTGGATAGAAGTCGTGTTTCCAATACACGCTTTTATTATTTGGTTGACAACTTCACTGGATGGATGACACTTGGCTCACTGGT